AAAATACACAAAGTATATTTTCCAAACGTTTCGCCTTTTACGGCTTCTTCAGTGGAAGAACACGTAATTCCACTGAAGAAGCCGTAAAAGGCGAAACGTTTGGAAAATATACTTTGTGTATTTTTATGTCTGAAGAAATCCCAAAGCCAAGTTCATACACTATCCAGACATGGTACCTCACACCCATTCATATATATATATATATATATATATATATATATATATATATATATATATATATATATATATATATATATATATATATATATATATATATATATATATATATATATATATATATATATATATATATATTTATCAGTTATAGACCTGAAACGAGGGGTATTCCACAAAAAATTACCGCTGAGGGATGAAATATCCCGAGGGCGAAGCCCGAGGAATATTTCATCCCGCAGGGTAATTTTTTGTGGAATACGGGCCCCGAGTGAAAGGTCTATAAATGGTATATTATACCGAACCTTTCAAAAATAAGTAGAAAACAAATACCATTCAATTAACTTTTAATTTCAAAACACAACTTTTGATAACTTTACATTTAAAGTTTACATTTAAAGTCGAATTTCCCGCTCAAGCGTGGTATTCGAAGTCGAATACCATGGCCCCGGGTAAAACACCCAGGGTTCAAATTGCCTAGGTCATAGTATTCGCTGAAAAATACCATGGTCATGTGGTACAAATTTAGTTCTCTGATTGGACAAGCTCATTGTGAGGTATAATATATATATATCTTTATCTCTTTTATAATATAAATGAAGTTCAATAATCTTTCTAAACTTATACAATTACTTTACATATTTTTCTACGTTGCTCGAAGCAACGCTTTTGAAACCATAGTTTTCGACCGGATTATTTAGATCTATTTAGGCGATTTACAGTTTATCGACAACTAAATATTTTTTTCAAGAACATGAAAACACTTCGTTTACATTGAAGAAAAAAGAAACCCGACGAAAAAAGAACTATCATTTTGTAATTTTATAAGATATTAGCAAAACAGTGACAGTAGTGACGTTCAGAGCATGCAAAAAGATTTATGAGTAAATTATATTTACGAAAAATTACTTTGTTTTTACAAGGCTGCACGATTTTCACCGTTTTTGTAACTGCACATTTGCTTTGTGCCTTCAAAGAACTTAATATTTGAAAATCTATCCCCAAACTACAAATTAGACAACAAGACAAAACGTTTTGACGATGAAAACGTAGTTTTAGCTTTGTTTATACTTTGTAGTTTGCACTCCTATAGTCAAATTCAACATGGCGGATTTGTAAGGGCACGCATGAGAAAAAGTGGAGACATGATTCGTGATCCAATACACATTCTATATCTATTATTTCTATGTTATAATTAACAATTATAATATAGCATTTGTAAATTCTGAACCCTGATTGGCTAAGAGCCGTGTTGATATTTAACAATTATTCGCCGAAGGCGAGGTGATTATCGGTGAATATTCGCCGAGACGAAGTCGAGGTGAATATTCCCCGATAATCACCAAGCCTGAGGCGAATAATTGTTTTAGTATTTTTACACAAGCTTTTGTGTTTTTTGAGACTGAATCTATTTTAATTTCGCTTATTTCTTTGTCAGTAAACTTCCACAAAACGGGTAGCCGCCATTTTGAAAATTTCTGTTTTGTTATATTCACCTGTAGGTGCATGAATATAACAGCTTATTACGTCAAATTTGACCAATCAACGTGTAGGATTTGTTATGTTCACTTGCGCAAAAATACTAAAACTCAATGTCAACACGGAAACGTTGGAAAATTCTTAATAAACGAGCAGGAGTGTTTTATGTAATGTTTACAACATGAGCGGCCGTGTTGTATCGGATATACAAACTCGAGCCGAAGGCGAGAGTTTGTATATCCGATACAACACGGACGCGAATGTTGTAAACAACTTAAAAAACGACTCATCTCATAAGTTCATTGGCGAAGTAATTTTAAAAATAAACGTTGTCTAAGCCGAGAAAATCAAAGTTAAAGTTTATGTAAATCAACATGAATCTGTGGCAGCGTTTACACTGTACCGTTTTCGTAGCGTTCTCGTATTGTTCGAGAGAACTAGACTATTGTCTTGCGTTCCCTTGAGGATTAAGAACAATACGAGAACGCTACGAAAACGGTACAGTGTAAACGCTGCCTATATCACATATACAGATACGACACGCTTATGATTTTTCTTTGTGTTTTCTTTATGAATTATTAATGTTTTTTAATAGGTTTAAAGCCACGAGCGCGCAGCGCGAGTGGCTTTAGACCTAATAAAACACGACCTGCGAGTTTATTAAAAGGCTTCAAACACGACTACAAATTCAATAGATACACTGCCTTATTAGTATTCTTTATATAAAGAATACTAATGAGGACACGACTACAATAGATACTGCCTGATTAGTATTCTTTATATAAAGAATACTAATTAGAAGTGTTTTATCAGGTTTAAAGCCACTGCACGTGACATA